CGGTAAATTATGTTCCGCTAACTAGCCTTTGTCGTTACAGTTACATTAAGTGAACACATGCCGTCCTAAAGATATAATAATGCTCGTACTTCGAACCCCACGTTGACGCTTCCTGTGATGTGCCTTCCCTACACTCGCCCAAGTGTTTTCGTGAGCTTTGTTGACGTAACGTCGGTTACTGAAGACGCCCTAATGACATCATGAAAAAAGCCGCCTCGGCCACATGCTTCACGGCCTTCGAGGCAAGGCCCTTGTGGACGTTGAGTGAACCGCGCCCTAAGACGACTCTTCTCACAAGTCATCACTGTGTTACGGCAGATGCCTATTACCTACGTACGTACGCACAGGCCACTTGCATTCATATAAGTGGTGTTGGTCTATTAATTTTTTCGCATTTAGCTAATAAAAGATGCAGTATAACACAGAGTAGTTCTACGTACTTGCACATTGCTTGAAAATATGGCAAATGCCCGCTATTCCCAGATGTGCGCAAATGTCCCAGCGAAAAAGAAAAGGCAAATGCTTCATAATGAACTGCGACGATGGCAAGCCCTCCGAGCGTTCACACGTGAAATCAGGAGAAGTTCGTAAGTAATGTATACAAAATGAGCATAAAAAACTACCGCGAAGTATTTAAAGCAAGCAACAACTTTATGGGCAGTTGGTACGGCACATATCAGAGGATGGTTCATTGACGCTTTTGGCAAATATTAATTCAATGGTGGTCCTATACTCAGCTCTATATTGCAGGTGTTTCTCGAGCTTTCCTTGCTTGTCAGCATCATCTTAAAATGGATTCATTTCCATCAGACGTAAGAGCTGTCGTCGTACTGAATTAACCACTAAAAGCTGTCGTAAAAGAAATTCAATACGAAAAAATCTTGTGTTACCTCAAGAGCATAGATTTTTTAAAGTACCGAGAAACAGCTATAACATACGACTTCCTCTACAAGAAAAGTGTTGAAACAAACATTTTTTAGCCTTAAGAACTACGGGAAAGAAAGATTTTATGGCGATTGTGACACCTGGTTGCCTCCTATACGTCGAAGGTTGTTTCGCTGGAGACACGACCACCTCGCATGCAGCCGGTAACGATAGGAGAATGTACCAACACCTCTGTTTGCGTTGGTGGTTTCTTGGCAATGCCAAGCATACTATATTAGATACGTTCGAGCAGAGCAATGAAATCTACAAAGAACATAGGGAAGTTCGTGTCCACCCATATTTGCGTAGTCAAGCAAAGTGAGCCCGGTACACTTGCACCCAGGCGAATCACGTGCGTGGGAGGTCCTTGATGACTCTGAAAACGACAGGCAATGACGAAAAAGAAGGTGCCTCGCCCGACGAGAGGCGCGGATATAGGAGAAACGATGAGGCCGTAGAAAGAAAAAAAAATAAGAAAGAGGGGTGGTGTGGAACGATAGAAATATTAAGGAGAACAAACGCCACAAACATGGTCGTTAAACGAATCACCAATGGTGTATCAGTGTCCTCTGTTCATCGTGTCCTTCGCGCTCTGTCCTTCGCTTCGTAAAAATGAAACATTGTGTCTCCGCATGATAAAAGAAAAAAAATGACAACAGGGTGCTTAGGAGAGCAATACAGGCAATGCATATTCACTTTTTTTTGCTTTAGAATATGCTGGTATAGCTGTTTATTTCTGTGTGTCCACGTTGAACCTCCGCTCCTTTTGAAGAAGGTACGGACCTTGGAAAAAAGTGTGCATCGCAACACACCACATTTGTCCTTAACGTGCTGGTGCCATTGCTTTGTAGAAAGAGAGAGAGAGATAGAGAGAGAGAGAGAGAGAGAGAGAGAGAGAAGCAACATCTGATGAAACCAGTCCCGCTGCAGCGCATTAGATGGTTATTGCGTCATAGACGGGTCTGAAAAGTCCTCGTCATTCTATACGCGTCCTACGGGCTAAATTAGAAGTCATTTATCCACAAAGACGACTTGTTGGAAATATTTGCCTGTTTATTATGCATGATCTGATGCAGGCCATTGTGAGGAAGTGAAAATGAATAAAGGCTGACAACTCGGGGAGAATAATATCCCCGCATTACAGATGCTTAGCGGGCATCTATAAACGAATAAGAATCGGTAGGTACCAGTAGTTATCTCCGCGAGAGTAAACCTTGGGGCGACAGTTGCTAGGATACTCGGCTGCTGATCGGCAGGTCGCGGTTTCGATTCCATGTACTATGTCATCTCAGTACACGTTAAAGAACACCAGATGGTGAAAACTACAGGGCCCCTCCTCTATACGGCGTCTCTCGTAATGATATGGTGGTTTTGGGACGTGAAACCCCAGTTAATATTGTTAGACTCTGCGGGAACGACACGTAAAAGCAAAGGTTCCCAGCTCGCGCAATCTTTCCTTATTTTGGTTTTCTACTGAAACAAATGAATCCTTTTATCTTGATACGCCAAATGTTCTCATCCGAGTTCAACATCCGATTACTACATAAAAAAAGGGGGTGATGTATGGCTTCGACTATGACGCAGAAAGGAAGTTCAGACAAGATAAAAGAAACAGTAGAGACCCGTTTTTATTTTCACATTACTCGCCCCCTTTCGATAGTATGAAGAATAATCCACAGGTAGTTGTTAAACGGCTGCAATACACAGTTTCTTACCCTTGGATCGCACTTGTCGAAACTTCACAAAACCGAATGAAGACATGTTCCTCTTTATTTTTTATGTACGGCAGTACATCGGCAATTTCTCGGCAGTATATCGAGCAAAAATCTCACATAATTTATTGTGGTTTTTGTTGACCCGAATTATAGACACACCACACAAAAAAAATGTGGGCTTGAAAGCTGCTGTATATTTACGATAAAGCGATCACTGCGGTCTTGAAGAGAAGAATTACATGGAGGTGAACGCACAATGGCAGAGGCAATCTCAATACGTGAAGTCAGTCAAAGAAGGTTAGATACGCTACGATGGCGGTAGCTAGCCTATTCTACGATGTGCGATTTTAACACAATGACATTTCATGCTTGGTTGTTGATCAGGGAGGACTTGTCATTGTACGATCAAATTTGTCGCCGTTGTCGCTTTCTGCTGCCGCCACCCTTAGCACCACTGACACGCTGAACTCAACGACCTCGTCATGCTTTTTAATAAGTTTTTTTTATCTTCAACAGTTGACGTGTTTCTTTCCTGTCCTTTTTGTCATCCCCCTGAGCCTGTTCTATAAACGTCTCCAAAAACTTAGAGGCTTACAAAGATTGTTTAACTTAAATTGAGGACGATGCAGCGAGCAATGCACGGAAAGTAAAATTATGAGTGTAACCTTGACAGGCAGGAAGAAAGCAGAGGGGGTCAGGAAACAAATGGGAATCACTTGCAAGTATCATAGTTCAAATCAAAAAGAAGGAATGCACATGGGCCGGGCACGTAGCAGGTAGGCAGGATCACCACTCGGCATTTAGGGTAACTCAGTAGATTTCAAGACAAGGTAAACGCGTGAGAGGGAGACAGAAAATCAGGTGGGCAGATGAGATTAAGACGTTTTGCGGGTTTAACGTGGCAGCATATAAAGTACAAGACCAGGTTTATTAGTGGAACATGTGGGAGGCCCTTGTCCTGCAGTAGGCGTAGTCAGAGTGGTGATAATAATGCCGCCTTTAATTGTTCATAATTACGCAGCGGAAAGCTGGAATTAAGCTTTGGTGAGTGCGTGCTTGACCAGAAAAAAAATTCTCACGGACACACTACATATCTGAACGGGAATCGAGGGCAAACTTACTGCCAAAAGTTGAACAGAGAAATCACCTGCGGGCTTGTGTGCATCGTAGATATGGTCGTGTTTTTTGTACCTAAAACTGTTTTTTGTCATGTGCCAAGTAACCCGACAGCAAACGTCCTTACGGTATATGTCCTTCGAAGCCTCTGCGCTGGACTAGTCGGTGCATGGTGAAAATAGACTGTAAAAAAGAAACAGCAGGAAACACTGTTTAGTACCGCGTCTTGCGGTGCCGAGGCTCTGTCAACAGTCCGCACTATTTCTGGTAATGTTTCGTTAGAGGAGAGGTCAAATTGCCTCGCTGAGGGCATGGAGTGCTTCTTACGGTGCCATTCTGAGCTACGCGTCGGTAACAAGATGCATCCGCTGGTTGATCATTTTGCGGGCGAGGATTTGTCCTCGTTACAAGGAAGGAGGAGGGAAGAAGACAAAGAGAGAAGGCAGGGAGGTTAACCAGAAAGACGTCTGGTTGGCTACCCTATACTGGGGGACTAGAGAAAGGGACAAGAAAAATCCGAAAGAGGCAACAGAAGAAAAAGAAATAGGGGAGAGACGGACAGTGAATTCACTGCAGCGTGTAGAACTCCATCTCCAGTCAGAGGTGTTCACACAAACCCGTCTTCCTCAAGAAACACACGAGGGCTTTCACTGCCTTGTGGGCTATCGAGGGATGTGGATGGGGCTGTGATAGCACCTGCACAGAAAGAGGCCGATCATCCAGTCGCCGCAATGCGTTGGCAGGTACTTGTCTCTCTGAGGCAAATCGAGGACAGGGGCACAGCATGCGTTGATGTTTTTGTTGGTGCCGCAAACATCGCGTGCCGCATTGCCAGTCATTCCGGTCAACGGCGTATATGCTTTTGTGAAAGCAACTCCCAGCCAAAGGTTATAGAGAAGCGAAACTTCACGTCGTTGTTACAAGCTTACAAATGATGCGCCAGCCTGTCCCGTCGGTTTTTTTCTGCGCGGTGTCATGTTACTCGATGACTTTTTTTTTATCCACATGTTATTCACCTGCAAAATGCACTTCTGCAGTTGCAAACAGTCTGTACAGAATTAAGTCGAACGAAAATATCTAGCCGCAACCGCCTCGCTTGGGAAACGATACCATGTATGGCGCGTTCATGGGAGGAATTATGGGAGCAGCTGGGCCGTTAGAATTCGCTCAGCCTTTGTCTAAACATGATTTGTAGAGTTGTTTCTAACAAACTAACGCGCACCCATACTCACACCCTTGATGCAGGCACGAAGACTCTCGTGGACAACATGAGCGGCGCTGCACGGCCTGGAACACTAACAGCCATCATGGGTCCGTCTGGTGCCGGCAAGACTACTTTGCTCAACCTACTCAGTGGATTCTAGTAAGTTGACCATTTGGCTGCAAATCTCATTCTCATTCTTCATAATCTCAATCTTGATTGTACTGGCTAAAATAGAAGACCACTGCTTGTGGTACAACTGAAATGATCTCGCAGCCTGCTCTGAACAGAACCGTCACCGTCGTACACTATGCATATATGCGTACACGTGTACCGTGACGTGCGTGTACGATCGACAATCGTATCTTTTTGGACGAACGATGCAGATTGCTGGTATTAATTTGACAAGCTATCGGGGACGTAATCAACGCGAGCTTATGACTCGCGCTTACTGGGAATTCCTCGTTCAAGGGGAACAATTGCAAGCCCCTATCCCAATCACGAAAGAAGCTCCACGGGTTACCCAGTCTTTTCAGACAGGGATAAAGACACGCTGCTTCCTTCAGTGTAGCGCGCGTGCGGCCCCGGACATCTAAGGGCATCACAGACCTGTTATTGCTCTGTTTCGTGCGGCTAGGAGCCGCTTGTCCTCTAAGAAGGTTGTAAGGTGCTGGGAACCCCGCACCTATTTAATAGGCTAGAGTCTCGTTCGTTATCGGAATTAACCAGACAAATCGCTCCACCAACTAAGAACGGCCATGCACCACCATCCACCGAATCAAGAAAGAGCTCTCAATCTGTCAATCCTCCCAGTGTCCGGGCCGGGTAAGTTTAAACATGAAATTCTAATTGAAAATTCTAATTTGCAAACCTTGGTGAATTGGCGGCGCGATGATGTTGATAATTATCACAAATATGCTTCTACTGACTATTGCGGCAGATTTGCACTTGCTTTGAAATATTTGACGCCAAAAATCAGCCACGAGGAGGAGGAGAGGGGGGACAAGGAAGGACAGGTAGCTTAGCCAAACCAGCACTAGCTGATCCGCCTAGTTTAGTGAATAGGCGTTCCGTGGGGTCGTAGCGTCAGTGGGGGTCTGTGAGCGCTGCGTTATGCCAAAGACCTGGAGCTCGCTTATCAGGAATCTAGTGGTAAGAAGGCAAAGAAACTAACACTACTCCGGTGATTTTGTACAACCGAACAATAACTTATAAGTGCGAACGGACGCTTTTTGCGAGAGTACTACGGGATGCGTATATATTCCCTGACGATAAGTTTGTGTTTCGCTATATAGTAAAGCTTCTTCACGTGAGTGAATTAAACGATTGTTGACAATCTAGTTTTGCTTGCGTCAGCATTAGAAATGGGAACATGGGTGTAAAACTGCAGTTTCTCAAAGGATACAACTAAATCGGTGTTTCTTTTCTGCGTATAGCTTCGCGACTTTGCGTTCAGGTTTCGCGTAGTCTACTTTTAGTAATCCGGATGGGACGAGTTCACTGCGCGAATGCTTACCTACATGTTTTTTTTTACGATCATGCAGCGACACGGGCTACGAAGGAGAAGTGCAGATCAACGGCTACGTGCGGTCCCCACGGCTGTTCACCAAACAAAGCTGCTACGTGATGCAGCAGGACCGGCTCTCTCCGACGCTCACCGTTCAAGAGGCGCTCACCATGAGCGTCGAACTGCGCATGCCCTTGCTGGACAAAGTGAGCAAGATGGAGAAGGTGAGAGCGACGACTTATACTCTGTCTCACACATCACTGTACAAGATGTGCAAGTGGTTCGGCAAGCCAAGTGTATAAATCCGCGCGACTGCATGGCGCTTGGATTTCGTCGTTGCAAGCGTGACCTCCGCTATTGGCGCTGGCTGCGCGTAGCCGGAACCTATCGCGGAGGTCACGGTTGAAAATTAAACCATTATAAGTGGTCACCAGCAACCTTTTTACAACTGTATAAATAACGGGCTTAGTTTACTTCTAAGGCACAAAGCTTCTTTACTGCCCCGCCGCGGTGGTCTAGTGGCTAAGATACTCGGCTGCTGACCCGCAAATCGCGGGTCCGAATCCCGGCTGCGGCGGCTGAATTTCCGATGGAGGCGGAAATGTTGTAGGCCCGTGTGCTCATATTTGGGTGCACGTAAAGAACCCCAGGTGGTCGAAATTTCCGGAGCCCTCCACTACGGTATCTCTCATAATCCTATGGTGGTTTTGGGACGTTAAACCCCACATATTAATCAATCAATCAATCAATCAATCAATCAAAGCTTCTTTACTCATTACTCTGCCTAGAAACTAAAAGAAAAATCAGAATTGTGGTTGGTAAAGTCATTCAACTATTCCTTCCTGTAAACGCACCGATCGCAAAAAAGTTTCGCTAACTTCCAAAGCGTTTGCACGTGACGTATATGACGGAGAAAAATTTCATACTATGCAGACAAAATTAACGTTAGTATACTATGGCACCGTACCAATCCTTACATTGTACGTATCATCCCTGCTACCGAATTCCGCTGACGAACGCGTTGACTGTTAAAGGGAACGCTAATTGCAGGGCATGATTCTGCTCTGCTGCAAAGGCGTAGCGGCTTGGATTTGCGTTAGACCACTGGTAGTTTGGAATTTCAGGGGTGAAGCTTCTCTTGCTCGGGGCAAGTTTCTCGTCGCGCCGTGGCCACGAGCTCTCGAGGCGAGCGCTTTTCGCGGTTCTTTTCTCATCGCTGGGCGCTCAGTGAGTAGACATCTTCACGCATCTACTCATCATGAAAACATTGGAAGAGAAAGCAGTGGCGCGGACAGCTCGTAAAAGGCTGCAATGCATCGGTGGAACCAAATTCAAGCGCGGTCCATTCGCGCTCGACGGAAACTTCAACGTGGACATCATGGTGGTTGACGACTTCTGGCTAGTTTCGCACATGCCTGATGTCCTAGTTTGGTCTATCGTGCTGATCGAACTATCACAAGCGTCCCAAACCCATCAGAGGCACCTGCATCGACATTGCCTTCTCCTACTTTCAACTACAACCTACTATTCAACATTCTCTCACCGCGTACTTCATCGACTATAGAATTGTAATCCTTGATGTAAAACGCCTCCCACAGCTTTGTAACCTGTAATGTGATCCTTGTGTATCATTTCATCAACATGTAAATTATTACATCGTGTGTGTATATATAAGTGTACATAATTGCAAGGATATGTAACTAGTAAACATCGTGTATATAGGTGTACATACATTCGCCCCTATAACAACGTGTCGAGTCTATATATGATGTGTGGGCGAATGTCTCATGGTTTCACCAATAAGCATTGCAGCTTCGCCCCACTTACCATCATTAACTTCGTTGAGATTGCGGGATATTTCTACTTTGACAAGGTACTGCCGTGCACCAGAAATGTTTCCTGATACACTCACAATTCGGTGGGCCAGCGATGTGAAATGCGTTTATAAAAGTGCACTGTGCATCTGCCGCTGACTTAGACACTTTTCTATAAGTGTCCTCAGTACTACTCAAGCGCTACTCACTTGTGCTGTATTGTTTTTTTTTTCTTTTTAGTCGACAAGAACGAGGTTGTTGTGCCCATTGGCCTAGTCTGCGCCGGAACCAATCGTAGATTAACCACAGTGTAGCGATCCATTGAGTTTCATTCCCGAAGGACGTGCCGCTGCCGCTGGTCTTTTGAAGTGCGCGAACCTGCTGACAGTGAAGGAATAAACACTTGGGAAGTGCAGCGAAAGCTACAAGCACGGACTTCGGTCGTCAATAATTTATAATCTGTGCTAAGGCGGGTCGGCATTTATGCGTGTGGCATGGAAGGTATACCAGTGTTATCGCTGGTGACCGCATTAGTTCTAGAATAAGCTTTAATGTTCGTGCTATGCTCGAAGCTTATCTGAAAGTTTTTAAATGATAGCGAACGTCCAAAACTTTCGGGTTCAACCTGGGAAAGACAGTTTTCACATGTGTAACTAACCATCTGGTTACAGAAAAAAAAAAGACATTCGCGCTAGGGAAGCCAAGCCTGAAGAAAGTGCGGTGCTTCGTGGCATGCTTCCATTTTTTCTTCCACTTTCTCTTTCTTTCTGCCTCTCTTTCGCTTTTTGAATTATCAGTTTTTACTCTCTTTCCTGCCTTTATTGCTATTTATTTATATTTCTCTTCCCATTTTTTATCTTTCTCTCTCTCTTTCTTTTTCTCGCTTACTTCCTCTCTTTTTTTTCTATTTATAGGCTATTTAAGCTAAGAGATTTGGGCTCCGCCATGTTGGGCAGTTGAGCTGATTTTTTTTCGTTTTTGTATACCGCGACGTGAATTAATTACAAAATGAAATTTCGTAACACCAACCAAACCGTTTGTACGCGTATGAGTCTATCGTAACACTGTTCGTTCAGTTGTTAAAGATGCCAAGCAGAAAGGTTAAGAGCCCAACCTGGCGCCACTCAAGCCCGTCCGTGAAGTGGTCTGGACGCCAAGCGACCACAGCAGCCTGGACCCCCAAAGCGCTCTCTAAATAAAAAAAAAAGCTCGCATGGTAATACCGCGTCGCTCATACAGTCAATAAAGAGCTCTCGCAAGTGATGCCCCGTACTTAAACTTCTGTGACCGTGTTTTCATCTTTCCCATCTCTCATATCCCCTCGATATGTCCTCGCTCGCTGGCTCAGCGCATCTCTCTCTATATATATATACCTTTAATTCTGTCCTTTTAATCCCTCCTCAGCCCCATCCCTTGTGAGCTACTCTTGAGGTGTCGCACCCTGATGCAGACAGTTACGGGGCTCACTTTTCTCTTCTTTTCCATCTTATAACCACTTCATCATATTTCATGCGTGCCTTTGTAGCTTGGCCTTTAAACTTAGCAGCTTGGCTCGGACTTGTACACCAGTGTCACGCTGGGAGTGGAATTTTGTGACGAGTCCGTCCCACTCTATAGTGCGTGGGCATGCATGCTGCATGATGTAAAGAAAAAAAAAAAGAAAATATGCCACTGAATTGAGTGTTTAAGGTATGGTTCATTGCCGATCGAACACACCAATTTCGTTTCAGTACAGCGTTGCGAGATCGGAGAAATATATTGCAGGCCTTAAGAAAAAAAAAAAATGGCAGCATATCCACCGAGTGAATGATGGGGAGTGGGACGAAGCATTCGTCCGTCCATTCGTTCTTGCTTCCGTCTGTTCCTGCGTACGTCTGTGTAACCGTCCATGCGTCCATCCGCCCGTCCGTGCGTGCGTCTGTTCGTGCGTCCGTCCCTGCGTTCGTCCATGCATCCGCCCCTGCGTCCGTTCATGCGTCCATCCATGCATCTGTCTATGTGTCCGTTCGTCCATCTATTCAACACTCCAAGTACCACCATCTCGCATCTTTTCATCATATATTCACCATATAGAAGCACCGCCATCCAGCGGACATTCCAAGGACTAAACGAGAGGTGGCACACGCACACTTTGTTACGGCTTGCGCTTCGGGTCCACTTCCCACCTTTAACCACCTCGAGTTCATGGTATATACTAGTTCACTGTCTTCATGGCACTGAGGCCAAACGCTCGCTAAACCTTTCGAAAACCAAGGATGCTACGCCCAGCAAGTATGACGTAGCAAACATTTCGTTCAGATAGTGCTCAATGTACATGCCAATGGCTTCTAATGGGAAATGAGAGGCGGAGATTTCGGCTTTTACTTTCTTACGGCTTGCGCTTCGTATCTACTTCCCATTTTTAACCACCTCGAGTTCATTCATGGTATAGACAAGTTCATTGTATTCATGGCACTGCGGCTCAACGCTCGCTAAACCTTTCTAAAACCAAGGAGGTTACACCGAGCGAGTATAACGTAGCAACCCTTTCTTGTCAGATCGTGCTCAATGTACATGCCAATAGCTGCTAATAGGGATCGCAGCGTGCGCGTTACCTAAAGGCCGAATGCTCCTGTCTCTCATTCCCCCTTAGCAGCCATTAACATGTGCATTGAGCACTATGTTTTATTGTTCAACAACGCACAGAAGAAATCTCTCACCGGAACCACCTTGGAGGTCGAAATCGTAAGGACCGCTATTTCGGGTATGTGCCACTGGTGGTTACGTACTACGAGGGACGCACAAGCCACGGCATAAGAAGCTTCGCCCCTAAAAAAACAAGTCTCGGGGTTGAAGCAAGAACGCCCGTGCGAACTGAGTCAGCCACAATTTCTTGCTATATATTATTTTTTGGCAATTGTAGTCATTACAGATGGGTGGGTAATTATAACGCATGATTACTGTCATTTCTGGAGTTATGGCTTCAGGACGTGTTGGCACTTTGCTGGTTTAGATCTGTATACCTTCTGGAGAAAAACAGCGGGCCGCAGGGCATACCATCAGCGAACGTCTGGAAAGTGTAAGGGCAACCATTACGGCACACGTGCGTTGCACGACGTTCCTCCTAACTTTCGAACGGCCGGACGGTCGTCATTCGCTGAACAAGTCGATGTGTCGAAAGAGCACAGGGCGGGTAGTCGCGTGCAGGTGCAGTCGTGGTTTTGGAAGCGCGGTACATTTGGCACTGACAAATAGTTCGCGCGTTCTCTAGCTTTGGGTGATCAGAGCTTCTCGCTCTGAGACGTGGTGTGCAAGTAGTAAAAGTACAAGAAAATTAAAGCGTAGTTACAAAAACAGTGCATCACTCGATGTTGAATGCGTGACCACTTGCATTTTAAGCAAGTTGTCATGCACGCATGCGCGTGAGGTAATGTCGGCTGGCAATAAAGTGTTCGGGAAGCACAAAAAGACGAAACAAGAAAGAAATGAAAACACGCAACTAGGTAACAATCAACGAGACAGCGGCGAATTATGCCTGTCAAGGAAAACGCCGTTCCTCGGTACTATAGCTTCTGCTTCTCCCTTTTGCCGAGTAAACATCGGGATGACCGCGCACCCGAGTGCGTGTTGCGTATGCCTCAAGGAATGGAGATTATGGAACGTGGCGCATTAGACGCATCAATTTTTGCGACAGTTGCTTCATCAAATCTGGTGCTCTTGAAAAAACGGAGAGATTTTTTTTTTCATCAACAGATTTCGTGAAAGCTTGTGTCGTGAGGTCGTGAATAGTGTTTCATCCTATCGAGTAAGATTTCTTCATTGCCAATCACTAGATCTTTGCTCTCCACGCTGTGGGAAACCATGTGTTTCATTGCTTGAGCAAATATATGTCTGTATGTCCTTCAATAAATCTGGGTTAATGGCGCTGTGTGAATGTGCTCTTCTTTTGGACCTTTTTGTTTGCACTGCCTTTAATGATGTTACTGGGATGGTTTCCGACATAGTGCGGGACTGTTGACATCATATTTTATACCTCCGCGCAACGCACCAGTGCTTCTTCACTGCCGAGAATATCCGATGCAAGTTTACAAGTGGTTGTCAAAGCTGTATAGCTCCCAATGTCGCCTTTAGGTAAAGTGAGATAGCAGCGAATATGCCGTGGCTGGCCCTCACCCTAACATTGTGTCACGTTCTATCCCAGCACCTGTCGCGCCATACACACCAAGCACCACTCATGCTCCCGAAGGGCTGGCCGCATCACCGTGAAGATCTTTTTCGCCACTATCCTATACAAGGGATATAGTTCAGAAGGTGGCCAACGCGAAGAAACTACTACCGGTCGCAAAACAAACGCATCAGAATGGAACATCGGAAGTGTTCGTAGATGATAGTTTCAGCAAGAACCGATGGTCACACTGTTTTACCACATTGTGGTTAGTATAACTGACGCCAGGTTTCTAAAGTGTATGAAACAGTTGGTTAAACTAGTTGGTGGCGAGGGAGACGTGCACGCATTTGTAGTGCGTTATGTTACAATCGCACTCTCGTCCACTCAAACTTACCCGTCTTGTCCACTTCAATTGACAAACACGCTAGCATCACTCCTTTACAAAGCCTCTCCGACGTCCGCAGAACAAGTGAATGTGTTATATGCAGCGTGAAATATTTGAAGGAAGCTTGAGTTTCGCCTTCAAGAGTGAAAATGAGATTGTGTAATCGGGCTCTTTGCGCACCGCCTTCTAAATCATTAGCCTGGCTTTGGTTTTCGGTGCATGAATGAGCCGTGCCGCAAGGATATGAACGTCTGTGCGCGTACAGCATTGGCTATTTCAATCTATCCTAGAACGTCTACTGCAACTGTCAAGGGCCCACTCAACAAGTGTGCGAATATTTAAGTGCCAAGTGCCCACTCAACAAGTGTGCGAATATTTAAGTACCAAGTGCCCACTCAACAAGTGTGCAAATATTTTGCGAATCAGTGAAGGGCCCGTTTCGCGTCTGTAAGACAACACGTGAACATGCAACTGCTCATTTTGTTGATGCTTTGTTATGAATGATGCATAATTATGCATGGGCGCTGTGTAACGATGGGGGCACACAAACACCGACTCGTTTCGCATTTCACATTTGACGCGATCGTACGCTTCTATAGCCGCAATATTACATGCGTTAAGAAGACTCCTTCCACAACACGATATTGACATAGTAGTGTTTTTTTACCGAAACAGTTTCAAGCAGTGGTGTGGCTTTGTGGTAGAACACATGCCTGCCGTGCACACGACCTGGGTGAGATTGTCATTGCAACCGAAGATTTGTATGAATTTATTTTATTTGCATATTTCTCGATTTTTCTGCCATGCACAACCCGTGATTCTTCGCTAACAACCAACTACGCGGACGCCGACACCTGGATATCTTCGAAACGGGCCTCTTAACAGTATCGCGGTAGTTTAATGTACTCGTAATAGAGTGTGCCAACACCCGCCATGTTGTGACACCCCTGTCTTGTTGAGGTATCGTGAAGCCATTCGTTCTCGTCGCCCTGACCCTCGCAATTCGCTTCCTATAGGTTAACCACTCGATTCAAGGATGGGGACTGTACGAATGCCGCAAGACGAGGACGAGCGATCTTTCTGGCGGCCAGCGCCGGCGGCTGGCCATTGCCCAAGAGCTCGTGAACAACCCGCCCGTGGTTTTCCTGGACGAACCAACCAGGTAATGAATTCCACATGCATGCGCTTATACACACTCTCATGTCTCTGTTTGCCAGTTCTTCCGATAAACAACGCACTTATTACCCATCTTCTCATATGATCGCGCTGCCGAAGCCTTTCCCTTTTTCTATCCGTCGTGCCACTGGCCATGATGCGTGATGTACGGAAGCTTTAGTCTGCGTGACCAAGGTAACGAAATTGCTGCATTACGGAGAAACCAGAACGGAATGTGAGTGCGTAGCTACCTCAGATGAATGAGCCCCAGCCATATGCACTGACCAAAATATTCTTATGCGATCTCTCTTTCTCTTCTCTTTTCCCCTATAGAAACAGAATCGTTCATTTCGTCACAATTGATTCTGGCACACTCGCAGCATTTATAGCAATGATGTTACGTGAAAAACTCACCAGGCCCTACACTCTCGACATGGAGACAGAGGCAAACTCAAACAGAGCCATTAGCGAGTAGAAATAAATAAAGCCCGATAACAGTGTAGCAATATCAACCGCATATTTCTTTTACCAGTATTAAAGTTTATAATGTACAGACGTGAAAACTGCGAACAAAACATTGACAGCATTAATATCTGTTCATCGTACCTCATCACCTTTTCATCCCCTGGCTTTCCTGCGAGACAGTGGGCTGTGTTACATTTGATGACAGACCGCTATAATTCAGGAGACGTTCAGGTGGAACGATTTCCGGCCATGGCCAGGCTAACGCCGCCTGTTACAACACCACAACCACTAACACCATCCAGCCACAGCGTAGAGTATATATGGAAAGCTGAATGGTAATGCCTGGTCAGCATCCCTGACTTCTTTTTCAGATTTTTCTCTTGACCAAACACCGTTAGGCGCAATAGCATCAAGGGCTGCCATCATTGCTAAAGCTGCTTCATAGGGCGCCCTGTAATGAACAGTTTGACAGATGAATATCAGTTGACCACCTAAACGTCAACGCGTTACTTGTCTCGCGGGCCGATGTGAAAAGCTATAACACGTGCGCTTTCCGTACGCAGTGGTTTGGACAACGTATCTAGTCTTCTGTGCGTCCAGATTCTCAAGGAGATGGCGGAACGTGGACACACCGTGATCTGCTCGATACACACGCCAAGCGCCAAGATTTTCTCCCACTTTGATTTGGTGAGTGCTGGAGATTTGTTTTCTCCTGTCGTCGGTCATTATGTATTGGCGCTTTCCTAAACCTATTACTCCAGATTTTCGTATAATCTGTACCGGATTCACCACCAGACGACATTGCAAGAGCTTGGGCGATTGTGCTAGTGGTCGCCTGCAAGACCCTCCCGATGTTTTCAAATACCGGTCCTTATCGTTTCCCCGGCTCTTGAACGGACACTGGAGAGAAACAATGACTTGGTTTATAGACTGGCAAACTGAACTCACAGCACTCTAATGCCATTAGCTTAACTATCATAAGTTTATTAGTAGCGAAAAAAAACAAGGTTGTCTTACTTTAAAATTTTGCGCCGAAATCTCCGCATGTGACGTGAGAAAGTTCAAAATGTACTTTTTGTACTTTGGTGACGTTGGGTTGGTGAAATTTTCTTACATTTTTGTATTTTATTTCTTTGGCGACCACAAATAAAAATTTATTTCATCTTTATCGATAAGAAGCTACGTAGGACCCAATGAATTTCTTCAAAATCTTGGGCATGTCGGTGTTTGGTGCGGGAATCTCAAGGTGGCGTCTCCGCGCATATTTTCTTTTCACGCGTTCTCTCGCTTAAGAACCATTCTGTGGCGATAAAAGTGGTGTTTTCGGGACCATGAAATTGTGCTTTACTTATACTCCAAAAATTATCTTGCTCTTAAGTATCCCTTCAAGAAAGTTGCTTAAAAGAAAACATTCTCCTAATGTAAACAGTTCCTTTCTAGTAGCTGAAAGTCAATTTTATATTCTTTGCCGGGGTAATTTACCATTAGAGCTTTGAGATTTTCTATGACTCGCAGAACACTCGCCCGAAAAATTGTCAGAAAAGTTCAAAAATTGTATTGAAATGCTGGTCATTCTCTTTGAGCTCGGTCGCCGTCCGTGGCGTGTGCGTGTGTATGGGATTGCAAAGGGCCGAAAGGAAAACTGCGAGTATGGGAGGATGAGGCGGGAATGCGGGTGTGTCATGCGCAATGCAAAGAACGCGAAAGGGTAGCTGCAGTAATCATAGATGGAGTGTAAACGCTCGCTCGGCAGCGAACATATGCTTTGCTAAACTCCCATACTTACTAACCTTCGTATTCGGGAGTAGTCTTCGGAACTCTGTTGGCATATAAACGAACGAGTGAATTTCAAAATATCTGAAAGCTTCATGGTTTTTCTTTACAGCTTTACATGGTATCAAAGGGGCGCTGCATATACAATGGCCCGGTGGACGATCTGGTTCAGTTCCTGTCACGGCATAGCCTGAATTGCCCTCAGTATCACAACCCTGCAGATTACGGTGAGTGGTGGACTTTTCGACTAGGACAACACATGCCTTCACGCGTCCCCGTGTGAAACATGAGCTGTAAATATATAGACAATAACATATAATTGCATACCTATATTGACATCCATATTTACGTCCGTTATCCGCGGATAAGCGAGGTACTTGCTGCATATCTGTAACGTCGTATGTGGACTTCGCTGATGCTGCATGCGGATGGAGAACTATGACTGAGCACATTGCGGAGGGTAGGAAGCGTTACACCCCACACTGGTTGTGCAATTAGCAGTGTGTGCTGACTGGTAGCTACTTTACTCTTATGCCACGCGTTACTATATGTTAACGCGATTCTTTGCCCGACAGGACCCCTTTGTAGGAGTATTAAGCGACAGCGTGGCTATGCGGTAGAACACTCGACTGTCTCGCAGAGTGCCCGTATTGAAATTTCATTCGATCCTGAGCATTTCTTTTTGTTATTCTGTTTTTTCATATCTATCGGTTACTTCTTCAGTTACGTCACTGACAGCGACGCCCGTCAGCACAAGAACGGGTGATGAAGAGCCGCGTTCTAAAGAAGTTCCAATGCTTGCGGAGGTTTAGTAAAGATTTCATATATAGACACACCATTGGCGATTTAAATCAGGTGTACGCATAGGTGCATAGTGAGCATGATTGACACAGCCGCACTTATCGTGACAGATGGCACCATAATGGAGCCGCTGGCTGCCAGGTGACGCCGTTTCGCTGCTCCAACGTTTCACAGTCATTGCGGTTTTTTTTTTACCCCAACAGTTGCTGAAGTAGCCGCTGGCGACTACGGAGACTACACAGAGGAACTCTCCAAGAGTTTGAGGAGCCAATTCCCGAAGAGAAGGAGTCGGGAGACCGCACGCGGCGAACTGTATATGGTGGCAAGATCATGTCTGAAAGGGTAAGCGATTTCTTGTATATACCTGTCAGGTGTAATATCTTAACTATTGTCACTATTCGGTACGTTACACGGAAAATTAGTATTCGAACTGAGAAAGTTACCTTTAACTTCAGAATATTGCTATTCTAGATGCGAGCGTCTTAAAGCAGGCTTCTATTTCTTCGTGGGGCAGAGGGTGAGAGATAATTCAGCTTTATGAGAAAGACATTCAGCCTCCCCCTTCCAGACATATTTTTTTTTGCCGTGGCATAAAGAGCGAAAAAGGACCAATCGAAGGGGTGCCCCCCCCCCCCCCGAAAAAATTTGTGTATATTCTTTCCTTCCTTCCATTATGGTACCCTTGGTGCATCGCAGCATAACAAAATTTATGTAATGCATATTATTGCGATAGCAATTATAAGGACACTCTCGGGTGGATTTCGCCACCGGCGTTGACGTGGGCGTCGATGTCATGCCCCGTATGTGTATACGTATCTATATGAAAACGCAAGAAAGAAAAAAAAATCTAGAAAAAAGACCCCGGCGCACGGAATCAAACGTGCGAGACGTTAACCACTGAGCCACTGAGAGGTATTTCCTTCAACGTCCATATGGCAAGCTATTCATATCTACCACTTACCGCTGTTGGCGGGTATCTCGGAGGGGAACTATCGTTTTTTCAGCATTATCAGCAAGATGGCGCAGTGAGCACGTGGCGGCTTTCATATCTCACACGTAGTTTGGGCTGCGTAGAGGATAAAGGGGTGTACGCTCGATCGCACGCGCTTATCTTGCAGTGGGGTGAATTGTAAGTCTTGGCTAGCCTTTGATTATCATCGGAACGATTCTGTTGTAGTTACCGGGCGCACAAAGGTCACTGCAATTGTTGCACACTGACATCCTCTGTTTGCGAAAAAGGCGCGCTTTTCAGACACAGCGAAGTAACAACTGAGACGCTTATTCGGGTTAATATGTACCTGTGAGTACGTTTCATGCGTCTTTTGTGCGTGTGAAACGTGGGGCACGTTTTTATCTGCTTGCCATTCTACGCGTCACTTTCCAATTTGTTGCAATCGCGTTCATTGCTTCGCCTTTGCGGCAAAGCTACGACTTTTTTTATACATTTCACATCAGACATACTTAAAGTGGGTTAAAGTGACCTGAATTGACCTTACCAACAAGAAATATCTTACGTATGTCAGTTCATGTATGGCGTATGAAATAGCATGGTGTGGGTTCGAAGTGTTTGGCACTCCATGATCAACTACATTGTGCGCGAGTTTTTTTTTGAATTAGGACGAATGAGACACGGACGGACGAACGGGATTACGCCCGTCGCGCCCGTCTCTTCCTTTGTCCAAGAAATTTGCGCCAAAAGTAGTTGACGGTGGCGTATAGAGTGGTGTAGTGTAGCTAGTAACAAGAATAAATCGGGCCACGCGTTGTGAAACTTCACTGGGTGACCAGTGAGGATTGAAAGAGCGGCGAGTACGGATGACCACTAATTTCTGGTATTTTACCGCTTTTCAGCACATGGCAGAGGTCAACAAACTCTACACCTTCACTACTTCCAGCTTTCACCAATTCGGAATCCTACTCCGGCGTTGTTGGCTCTCCGTTTCCAGAAACAAGGTCAGCGAAAACGGTTGCGTCGTCTTTGTATTTGCGCAAAGCTGGCGCGCTCTGTACATCAATGTGTCTAGATATTCCTGAACGTTACAAAAGTAATGTCGCCCGTGTGATAACGTTTCTCCTCCTCCTTTCCCCTCTCCTCACTTCCTCTATTTTCTTCTTATTTGCTGTATCATTTGCCGACTGAAGCGTCTACCCACTTCGCCTTTATGTGCGGGGAGAGGGGTGAGAGAGGGGGGTGTCCTCATTTTTTTGTCGTGTGCCTGTTGGCACACCCTGTCTTTTAGAATGAAAAGTGGCCAACTATTTTAGCTCTATCTTATCTTCTGTGCGTGTTCGGTGTGCATTATTCACGAGACCTACCCTATGCGTTTCTTCGTGAAAGCCGATAAGCCGATGGTAGACATTCCTTACATCTCACTGTATCGCGTTATATCGATCGAAAATCGAGGCATCTGGTGTATTCGCAGGAACTTGCCATGGTCGAGTCGCCGCTTCATTTAGTGCGACTATTTCTCTATATTTTATTTAAATACACGCTTATCATGCTCCGGCGCGCTTGCAACGTGCGTTCCGCGCTGGTGTGGTTTTCTTGTAGCTCCACCGCCCTGAAAAAGATATGATTTCCAAATAGGACAATTTCATGTCCTGTTTTCTTCATTTTGGTGAGGGTTTATGACACCTTGAAAGCGCAAACTGAATTTTTTTTGCGCATTTGCTGCTGGTCTCTACAGAAATTGAGTGGAAGAATGTAAGTTTTGGCGCACTAGTAATTTCTCACCATAGGTACACACAAACCTCTAAAAGTTGCAGACGAGCTCTCTCTTCCTTCTGTCGCAGTCTGTGTGCGCTTTTTTTTAGGTTTGTGCGAGTATTAGAATGCTTCGAATATTCGAACGAATAGTAGAGCATTTGAATTCGCTGCGATTCGAATTGAAATTATCGAATATTTCGAAGTATTCGACATGAACGAATAGGTGTATACTAAACCACATGTAACTGCTTGTAAAGGTGGTTTCACTGCAGTATAGTAGTGCTAAACCGTAAAAGCATTTAATCAAAAGCATTTCTCTTTGCCGCGAAGCCACGCTTCAAATTTAAAGGGGCCCTGCAACACTTCTTGAGCGTGATCAGCAAACGCTGCCGATCGGTAGTCAAGGCTATCGAGAACACGCGAGCTAAATAATATAGCGCAGCACGTGACTTGGAATTCACAATAAATTCACAGAGTCAGATAAAATTGCTCTCTTCTCTCGGCAAATGATGCCACAATGTCAAAAATCGCTCGTCACAGCCATTGTACCAGCCATTGGCTGATTTGAGCATGGGGTGCTCATTCTTTACTGGGGCCACTGTGAGTAGCCGCGACATGTCCACGCGTACACGCGCGATCGCACTAAAAGCCGCTTATTCAAAGAAAAAAAAAAGAGGAAGAGTGCTCAAGGTCACGACACGCACATGACATATTTTCTTTCCCTAAGCCATTTCTGCCGGCTTCGCTTAAAGCGCTTTTGTCGGGACGAGAAGAGAGAATGCAATTGCAGCATGTGGCAACTCTTTGCGACTCCGCTCATACTGGAAAGGTTCTAAAAATTTTTGTGGCGGTTAATTTATAAGGCAATAAGCTTCTTTAGTGAATCCATTTTATGGTTACTTGAAAAACTGTGGTGGGGACTCTTAAATGAACATATTATCCTCAAATCGATTGATCATTTGTTAAGATTGAAAGCTTGTTTTTCCGGCTTTACACTGTAGCTGTAATGAATAATGTTACGTATTTTACAGGTTATCACTTGCATCCTACTGAAAATCAAATCCTGCTACTTCTCTAAGTTGTTTTGACTTCCTTTGAATGAAAAAATAAAGAAAGCTCTTGCATAGAGGTTTTGTTAAAAAAACATAATGCAGGTTAGTTAGGTCATAATAAATATGCCCATTTTTTTATACATCACATATTCTGTTCGAATTCGATTCGAAATTATTCGGCCAAAATCACTATTCGCTTCGAATTGACTTCGAACCTAAAATTCACTATTCGGACATGCCTACTTTTTTTGTTTTTTTTCCTCTGTAGAGCTAAGAACTGGTGTATGGCGGTGACTCGTAGTGCGAGTCAGTCCTTGAGAAGTTGTTTTAATAGGGGACATCACAAAACTTCCTGCAGGTGGCCACTCCTTTGAGGTTCGCCGCGTACCTTGCGTTCGCCATCATGATGATCATGCTCTACTACGACATCGGCAGAAAGGCGTCTACGGTCATCAACAACGCGAACATGTTCTTCGGCATGTGCTGCATCGTCATGTTCCAGTCCATCCTGCCCACGGTGATCGTCTGTGAGTGCTTTTGCTCATATGTGCTCTTCTCAGACTAAAGAAAAATATATGTTTCTCAAAAGAGGAGTCCATGCTGCTGCGAATAAGTAAAACGTTCTTTATCGGACCCAGTCACAGCGCTCCGCGCAGACCTCATTAGCACGGCGATTTGGTTTCACCATATTCAGGCTGGCTCAGTCATGGGCTTTGTGAACTCGCTGCGGTTGCAGCATGGTGTGAACTTTCGACTGACTGCCTTCTCTGTGCTTTCTTTTGTTTACTGCTGTGGTATGCGAATAAGTCTCTGTAGTTTCATTTGATTTGTATCGTGGGTCATTGTTTCTCCCGCAGTCCCCATCGAAATCTCGGTACTCCAGAGGGAGCACAGAAATCGGTGGTACAGCGTCAAGCTCTTCTATTTGGCTCGCTACATCGTCGAGCTTCCGTTTTTGGTAAGGATCTTTGGTCTCCTTGTCTCCTTGTCTCCTTGGAGTTCTTGTCTTACTTCGGAGTCTCATCAGCACGATCAGACGCATTTTATTTCTATTTAAATGAGTAATAAAGATTAATTGTACGTTTGAAAATTATCTGAGACACCTCAAGTTCAAAAAGGTTGCACGTGAGCACCGCATTGACAGCCCTTTGTAATGAAGGTTTTCTCCAAGGTGTTATAAATATACGTGACCCGCCAAAAATGCACTGCTGAGGCAAAGACACCGACCTTCGTACTCCCGCAAAGCTTGCCCCTTTATTTCCGTACCCGCCAAAAATGCACTGCTGAGGCAAAGACACCGACCTTCGTACTCCCGCAAAGCTTGCCCCTTTATTTCCGTCGAAAAGGTCTGCTTACGCTGTGTAGATTGTTCCTAGGGGATCTAGAGATCTGCGGTCTGCTAGGAGAGAGCGCTCGCAACCATCGTGGCAGCTAACACAAAACTCGTGACGCAGGTAGCGGTTGATCGTTTACAGGTAAACCAGAGGTGCGTTTCGCTTCCAGCGCTACGACACGCACTTCGAGATTGATTTTAAATATGCTCTAAGCTGCATTATTTGTTGATATTTCGTAAATGATGCGTGTGTGTGTGTGTGCACTCAAATCTATTCCGCAGGTTATTATTCGTGGATATTTTGTAAATGATGCGTATGTGTCTGCACTCAAATCTATTCCGCAAATTATCTCGCCTTCAACGTTTTGTGTCAGTACTCCTTTCATACCTATCCGGACTTAATGTCTATGCTGATGATCATATGAAAGGAACAGCTAGCCAGCTAAATATTAATCACTAGCGGCCACTTCCATATTTTGTGCACAGGCTTCCGCAAATAATGTAAGTGCTACGTGCACTGACGTCACAGGATGGAAAAACAATCTCTTAGACCTCTTTAAAATTAGTCGATCTGGTAATAAAGAAGGGGCGTTTCAGAAATATTGCGCGAATCTTGAATGTGAAGAGGCGACAGCATTGAACGGCTTCATTTTTCTTGCAGGTCATTCCTGTGATTATGCTCATAGCGCTGATCTACTACCCCACATCCCAACCACTCGACATGTGGAGAATAGCAAGCCTCGCCCTGTTCAACATTCAGCTTTGCTCCTCCATCCAGGCCCTGGGGCTCATTGTTTCGGCGGTCACAAAACTTCAGGTAGGATGGAATAAAAGTCCGACATACGCTGCAAGTTCTCGTACAGCTGGTACTTTATCTTACAGAGAAATGCTTTACGATAACAGACCAGAAATCGGTATGCTGTGGTGCCAGTAGCGTCCGTTTACATCTTTATGAAATGATGACTTGTTACTCGTTTCTGTGGCTAACTTGTATGTATGTCGGTGATGGACAAGTATCTTTAACGGAATTTATGCACCGGAAGTATCTTTTCTATCGTGCCAGTACTTGTGTAAGAAAGCAATGCAAATTAAGATGACATATGCAGACGAAACGCATAGTCTGAAACAACTAGAGCTTGACGTTTTGTCCAGTTGTTCTTTCGCTACACCCAACTACAATAAGTCATTTCGGACCCAGCCGAGAGCGCATACCACAGTGTCGGAAGGGGCTGTGGAGCAAGTGGAAACGTCAGGTTGCGTTTCCTTTGCTGTGACAAATATACTCTTTCTTCTGGCACCATAAATCCATGTTTGGGCGTTGTATAGCTACGCAAACACTTTTTTTTTGTGAGATAGGACAGCATAACATACATAAATATTTGCTGATGGCGGCATCGATTTCTCAAATTATAATGTTTCTTGTAATCGATAACACAACGAATGCTCGATGGAGTAGATTTAATAATCGAACGTTTCTTTTACAAGTGAGGCCAGCACACAATCAGTCTACGCTATTGTTATTTTATAAATATTCTCAATATTAGTGTATTTATTTAATGTACACTCTAAATAACTCTCTGAACCCCTTCTCCTGTCAACTGGCTACCCCATTACGTCATTAGTCCAAGTGTTCAGTGTTTAATACATTGACATATGTCATCCCTTAACCAACCACTGGGGCACGTACTCGTTTGGGAGAGGAGAAAAAGGTTTTTGCTGCTGTGGGTCTGGAGCACTCATCGACTCCTGCCTTTTTGTCTTGTTTTCTCTGCAATAATACGTAACCCGAGGGCCTCACATCTAAATGGCTATCGTGAGTCCCTGCTTTGTTCGTATTTTTCGCATCACCTTGACGAGAGAGGGTGGAGCCGGGGTAGCACATGGTAATACGACACGAAGGCTTTTAAATGATTGTTGCCAAGCAAAGCCGGTGATTGGATACACCACTTGCAAGTCGTTTGACAGAACTCACATCAACTTTTTCTCGCCCGATACACAAGCGTTTACGTAAATTTATGGACGGGTTTCATATCTCATATGCCAACTTGAAGCGACCCGACCAAACTCGATACACCTTCACAAGATTCATATAAACCGAGCTTTATGGAACCCCTTAGTTGCATTGGTCAGGTTAACATTCCTCAAATAACAAAGCGCCAGTTTTTTCACGAATGCTTTCTTTTCAACGTTATCATTGCAGACGGCGGTGTTCGTCGCGCTACCGGTGGTATCGCCGTTCTTCTTCTTTAGCGGCTTCTTCGTGCAGTCGCATCTCGTGTCACCGTACATACGATGGCTGACGTACTTGTCGCCCATGTACTACGCCTACCACGGCATGCTGCTCTCGGTCTACGGCTTCGACAGGCCGCCACTGAGCTGCGACGACTTCATCTGTCTCTACGAAGACCCCAAAGAGTTCCTCCAGTTCACCGGCACGGCGGACAAGAAGTTCCACGTGCTCGTGCTGTCCCTATTCGCCTTCGAGATCGTTTTTCGCACGGTCGCCTTCATCCTTTTAAGGCTCAGGCTCAAGCAAAAGGAGTGAAGAAGGCTTGCTCATAGAGACTCTAAGAGGACTTGGTCGTCATTATTCGAGCGGGCAGACGCGTCTGATCCCACTGAGGCATGAAAGGACAAGTCCAGAAGCGCCACCTTGATTCTTTGTGTTCCAAGGGGGACTTATCATCTTCATTATATATAGGCACCATCTATGTCGGAGAGAATAATCTTCATAGTGGACTTGTGTGCAGTCTATTCTAGACAGTCATGTTTTAAACGGTATGTGTTCACTGACTCGCATGACCTTGGTTCAGGTCGTTGCGTTGAGCCTCGCTGTACTCTCTTATTGAGGAGACCGACGTGGATGCATGTACTAAGTTTCGGTGTCCTTACAAAAGTAGGCACAGTTGGGCCATTGGTAACGCGAACCCAAGTACAATTAGACGACAATGTGAAAGAAAAAAGAAGCTTTCGAGTGCTTGGACGTGCTTGTGCTAGCCCATGCTTTTCACACTGATGCATTCTGCCACGTTTATTTGACTGTCCATGTATCCCCGAACCAAACCAAAAGGCTTACAGCAAGGCCTCTCGCTGTGTATTATGTATTTTGCGTGACTACCAGTCACGGTTCATTCATTCTCATCGCATCGGGGACAACCGAGAAAGAGTGTAAGTGGGAATGAGAGAGGATTGTATACTCGAACAAATGTGAATGTGCTCCGTGTGGCGTTCATTGTATGTAGCGTTTAAGGCGGACATATATCATTTCACTCATTCAAGTTCGACGAGCATGACGTCTACTCAGGTTCTACAATTTTTCCCTTGCTTGTTTCTTTGCACACAGACTGGTGCGGTGAAATAGACAGTTCACAGTTATAGGAGGGGGTCAACTATGTTTGTGTGATTAATAAAGAAAGTGACCGTGACAGTTTATTGCGCAGGCGTTGTGATTTTCGACGCGATATCCTAATAACGTGTCTTGCCCGAACAGTGTTGTATACTATCTGCAGCGAAGGGCACGCGAAAAAAAGTGTTGCCCATTAAGTTAATGACTTCAGTTCAGGCGTGGTTCATTTTTCCAGGGCTCTGAATTAGAAATTTGATGACGTGAATGTTGCAATCAACTAACCAGCATTTTAGGGTGTACGTATTCTCGAGAGGGATTTTTAATTGGATGGGGTGGAGAATCCCATACTCACAAGTCGTGACAACCCCAGTTCGAGGGCACAAGTAGGTGTTGGCAATTTCAACGCCCTGTGGACAGGCAACCGTCTGCAACCAAGCAAAAATATTACTTTGGCAATTTGTTGTTGAAGCAACGTCCTCGACCGTGAATTGTGAGTGCCACGATGGTTGTGCCACGATGGTTGTGCCACTTTCACGCTATACATGTCTGAACTACGAAGGACTAACTCTTTAACCATGTACTTCACACAAAACTTTCGTCCCTTATTGTGTGCTTGAGGAGTGTATAATGGTTGCGCCTTACTTCATGCTTCGCGTGTGTGATGTGTGTTTATATAAGTAGCTTTTGTATAGATCCTACGATTGCAAGGAGCTGCGTTGGCTAACCTTCTGTGAGAAAGAATGTTTTGTGTATCACTGTCAGTCAAATTCTGCGCCGTTTTTACGTGCCTTTCAACCTGTTGGAGAACACCAAAAGTGAATGTACGAACAAGTGCGCCGTGTTTTAACCGTACTATGTATGCTGTAGAATCTGATTGTAGCTATTTGTCTATAACCGTCGATCCTGCGAAATTGTGGTTGATGTAAGTAGCAAAGTTTATTAGGAGTATTGAACTCTAGGTCATTGTGTACGTATTTCTAACATTCTCTTGTATCTTACACTGTGTAGATTTTTTAACGGTGTGTTTAAAAGAGTCAGTATACCATAACCTAACCCACCTAATAAGTGGAGAGTTTTAGTGTCGGGCCTTCAGAGTAGCTTCAATGCGCAAGCCTTTCTGTTCCTGTGCCTTCTTCACAGGTGTGGCTTGAATTTAAAAAAAAAAGTGAAACTGGCTTGGGTCTCCGTACTTCGCAAAAAATATGAAAATGAGAAGGCAACAGAAAGGGAAAGTGGGACTTTCTACTCTGTGTTTCAGTTCCTTATTAGCTGGGAAACATCCTGTTTTCCTAAACCACTAATTGATACTACAAGGCAGCCATTGAAGCTTGTTGTAGATATTGAACACGTCCCTCTGTTGTGCACGTAGGGAAGCAATGCATGCAGAATGGCAACATTGGTGGTCGCCCTAAAGGCATTTCGGCTTCGCTCCGTACCTCGCAATGACCAAAATGTATATCTATGCTTGACCTCCACGAGGTCTACGTTATCAAACAACTAAGCTCCTTGTTTGATTTCAAGTACTTTTTTTAAGTATTTAGCGCTCACGAGAACGCACTGATAGGTTTCAAGTGCACTGTCGTTGTATTTGTATAAAATATCTTCGTTCTCCTCACACGCTTTTTATATGGCATTCGCAATAAAAAGAAAGTCGTCATGCGCTCGTTATTATGAGCTTTACCTTGAATTGATAGGTACATATTGATGATATGCCATCATTTACGCGCCTCATCATCACCAAAAAAAGAAACAAGTCCTGTGTGCAGGAGTTGTCACGAACACAGGAAATCTTTTAACAGATCGAATCCATTTCAGAGCTCTTGCAGACTAAAATCAGAGTTTGCTAGACGAGGTGCATTTTTTGGCACTGACTGATTAAAAATGTTTCAGACATGGCGAGAAAACGGAACCAGAAGTGCTTCAATCTCAAAATTGCCCTTTGTTCAAAAGATTGTTCCTTTTGTGGTGGCTTTTTTTCTCGCTTTTCCTATTGACGTTGGTCCAGCAATTATCTACTCAATGGCTCCGCGTTGCGTTTGCACACGGGTTCGAACCTGAGAAACACATTTTACAATGAACAATTAGTGCAACCGGCTGCAGAAAAAAAACAGTATTTCAAGCTGTCCAGACGCTTTCGCAGCCTCTCGTTTTCCTCGCTGTTTTCTTCGTACTGCGCGCGAAAATTTTGTTGTGTTCAATTTAGGAACTTACCTTGCATTGATAATTATCTTCAAAGACTTTTACGAGTTTTTCTTCGTTATGTTGGAACATAAACATATTTCTGGCAACATCCAACAACGAATTCGCGAATCAAATATGTATATTATATAACAAGGCAACCAAAGCTGCGTCAGATTGTGGGGATTTACAACAGAACTGAAACAGACAATACGAATTCCGACTACCAACTCAAAATTCGCGCCGTGGCGGAGAAGAAGGTAGATGCACATATTATACGTGTATATATACTCGGGAATAATGAAGCACCTTTAAGGTAATAAGCGGCGTTTCGAACTGCATATTTCTCTTTTATTGCGTCCATTTATGTACGTTTTTATTTCCAACATAATATTTTCGATCGTCGTTGCGATCACGGAATATCACGTGGTCTCGTGTAGTGTTGCGATGACCTTGCCGGCGACGTCTAACGGCAAGACTCTATAAGCGTGTTGAAGACGAACACACTGATTCCTATTCGAGGATTTCTCAGTCGCCACCGTCAATACTCGGCTGTTTGTGTACCCGAGTAGGTAATTTCGTCGGTCGCCGAGCGCCGGTGTTCAGAGAATCGTCACTGGCTGCCTCGAACCACGCCCCGCCGCTTTCGTGTTACGCCGTCTCTGCAGAGGGTGTATTTGCGGCGGGTGTAAACAGCACTTTGTCCGTGACATTGAAAAACTGGGAACGAAAAGTACGCGCGTGTCGGCGCAACAGCACGCGCAACTTGTGCGGCGAAGTGCGCAGTTGGAAGCTATACGTGAAGCAGATGCGTTGTCCCGAAATTTCGAGCTCGTGAACCGTTGTTGCACAACGAGCACGAGCGCCTTGTTAACGACAGGCCCGTCTGCATTAGCCCGAAACGGAGTATCTTTAAACTCGGCCAGAAAAAAAGAGAGAAAGAAATCCGAAGGGGTGTGGTTCTTTGGCAAAGGATTGCAACCGAAACCTGAAAACGTAAACACCGATATTACTCAGCAGGAGATGGACATACGCGTGGTCGAGAGGCATTTTGCAAGCGAGCATCTGCCACGTGGACTTAGAGCCTGAACTTTTGTTTCTTTGGTCGTGAATTAGCAATTCAATGCCCCTAAGTGGCATTTTGTGCCTTGGACCTGGCCTTCAATTTTTACAGCAGAGTTGCTATGCTCGAGGTTTGGTGTGTGTCGTAAATATAAAATTATCAAAATTCTCAGCCGGGACGCACTCTCTTTGTCCTCTACTTCATCTTCGTTCTCTTCTGCTTCGCTCTCAGAACACGTGTGCTGATCAAGGAGGATTAAAAAAATTGCTGGAGTGGAAATGACTGCCCAAGAGTGAAGCCGTTCCACTGGCAAGATGGTGGCTGTGGCGGCCATACTACTAGGGGCATGGTGAATTATCACCGTTCAGCGAATAAAAACGAAGCGTTTCCCTCGCAGGCCCAAAAAGTTTAATGTGGGAACTTTTTCTGATCACATAGGGCTCCAAGCGCGTCTTACAGTTACTAGTTTTCCTTAGTGAGCCTCTAATTGAAGGCAAAGTTCTTTGAAGATTCAGTCATCTATACTCGTTGCTGCGTGTTATTTCGTCGGGAACAACTACCTTTTAACATAGAACTAACGTTGCATTTACATAACATATCAAAGGTACTTGATCTTTAAGTGGGCACCATTAGAAAAGAGCATGTTTCCGCCATCTTGGCAGTGGCAAAACATGGCTTCACTTTTGCTGGCAAGGCATTGCTGGAGCTTCCACTCCAGCAATTTTTCTTTAATCCTCCTTGGTGCTGATTTGTCTGGCGTGGGATGCTGCAATAATTGTTATGGGCGAGAAAACGAGAACGGAGGTGAAAAAAGAAGACAGAGAAAGAAATAGATATTCAATTATTGGCGAAGCCCCGCCGCGGTGGTCTAGTGGCTAGGGTACTTGGCTGCTGACCTGCAGGTCGCGGAATTTGAATCCCGGCTGCGGCGGCTGCATTTCCGATGGAGGCTGTAGGCCCGTGTGCTCAGATTTGGGTGCATGTCAAAGAACCCCAAGTGGTCGACATTTCGGGATCCCTCCACTATGGCGTCTCTCATAATCATACGGTAGTTTTGGGACGTTAAACCCCACATATCAATCAATCAATCAATTATTGGCGAAATCAATTTCGTGTCTAGGCAAGACTTAAACCCGCTAATTATAGTAACGGTTGTAAAAATTTCACGTTCCAAAACCTTGATATGATTATGAGGGACGCCGAAGTAGAGCATTCCGGAAATTTTGGTGGTCTACATCTAGCGCTCTTTATAATGCGTGCCGGCACAGCCCAGTACACGAGCCTCTAGCATAACACCTTCATGGGATTGCGACCGCTAGAGTATACAGAAACCGTGACCGTGAAGTAAGCAGTCGAGCCCGATGCACAACCGCTATACCATAGCAGCGGACGTAGATCCATGCAAAGGCGAGCGTCGCAACCACTTGGCTGTCCAAGCACGCCAGCACAGAGAATATTTTTTCGTCGAACGTGAGATGGTATCACGTCAGAACACCTAGGCGCCCTTGTCACGACACTAGCTTTACCTTTAGACGAGACCGTACGATGCGGATATGCACGGAGCCGAGGCCTTACCGGAGGGTAGCGCTCTTGCGTACCGTGCAGATGGCGCAAGGGGCGGTGGTTTAAGTGTCCCGGTAAGTACTCCCACAGCAACACCGTTGTGGGTTGTTTCGTTTTGTCATTGATTTATGTGACAGATAGCAGTGATTGTCTCCTCTCAATGAAGCTACCGTACACGATCCCTATATGGTCCCAAAGGGTAACTTAAGACACATCTATCTCGCAACCTCTTTGCTCCGCCTGCTCGTGCCATCAATGCACTCGTACTCCCCTCATTTGCGT